GGTGGGGCTGCGATTTGATTAGGGTGGCCAGGGAAGGCCTTCCTAGGAAGGTGACAGTGCAGCAGAGACCCAAAGGCAGTAAGGCAGCAACCCACGCAGATATCTGGGAGGAGAGCAGTTCAGGCAGCAGGAATGCGAGTGCAAAGGCCCTGGGGTGCAAATGTGCCAGGGTGGCCAACACTGAGTTGGAGATAAGATGACGGATGAACAGCACAGCCTTCTGGGCCTTGCAGGCCATTGCGATGGTCAGAGGAACGTGTTGCTGGCCCCCGAGGAGCTAGAAGGGGCTGACCAGCATCCCGAAGTCACTGTCACTTGTGAGTGCCTCTGGATACTGTAAATGGCCCTACAGAATGGGAAGAGGGCTCTTAGAATACTCGAGCGAGAGTTTGTTGGAAAGTAGGCTGTCTCATCCTCAGCAATGGTGACGTTTTGGCTGGATGGCTTTGTTGTGTGTGTTGTGGGGGCCGCCCTGTGCATGTAGGATGTTTAGCCGCATCCCCGGCCTCTGCCCAGGAGCACTTCAGTTGTGACAAGTTTAAATGTCTCCAGACGTGGCCATGTGTTCCCGTTGAGAACCACAAACTAAACACAGGCAGCGTCTAGCTCCTTATGCTGGGAGTGAACCCCCAGTGCCTACAGTCATCCCTCCCCCTCCATCAGCCCCTCACCTGACTCACATTGGCTGCTCGGAAAAGGGAACTACTTTTCCAGTGATAAAAGGTTATCTTCTAAAGCCCCAGGCAAACATTGATCCTAGCTCCATTAGCCATTAACACGTCTACACACACACCGGCCAGGCAGACAGAGCCAAGGCCTGTTCCCATAGGCCCCTGTGTCCCATTTGCTAATCCCCAAACCCCCAGGAGAGCCGCACCGTAGTCCTAGGCCTTGGGTTGGGTGACTTGGTGCTGGTCGCCGTTGTCTTCCTTTCCCCAGGAGCCAGAAGACCCTCCGAGGACCCTGACATCTCCATAGGACCCTCCCTTTCCAGAGAGAACCCCGTCAGAGTCGGACCATGACTGCAACCTGTCATCATGACGGTGCATGTGTACCGGGCCCTCCTGTGCCAGTGCTCTGCACGCCTGCCCTACCATGTAGGCCCACCTCAGGGGTAGGGGCTATGACTGTCTCCATCGTACAGATGGAGACACTGAGGCACAGGCCACAAGTGATGTACGCCGCCATAACCATTTTTATGAGACCACCTAAGGATTCACGATCACCGAGTACCCAGGACGTGCCAGCCAGCGAGCCCACAGGGCTCAGGAAGGCTGTGCCTGGATGAGCTGTTGGCCTCCCAGCAAAGGGTTCCACTGGGCACTGCTCTGCCCCGACCAAACTGGCATTTCAGGTCTGGTCAGGGCAGGACGTAGGCATCGAGACCTGAGTGGTGTACACATTCATTTTACCTTCATAAACTCAGAGTTCAAGGTTCCAGAGAGGTGGAGATAAACGGATTTGTAAATGTTAGAAAGACAGCTGGGAGCTGTGCTTCTCGGAGCTCCTGGCCGGCTTTTTCCCAGCAGCAGGAGCTCAGGGCCCAAGTGGGGCGTGGACACTTCCTGGCGCCAGCTGCCGGGTCCACGCTGCAGGAAGGGCGGCAAGGTGCGCTCACTCTGGGCTCCATGCAGATTCGAGGGATCCCTGAGCTTTGAGGGAGCGGTCACTGCGTGTGGCCAGTGTCCTGTTCTGGAGGGGATCCCCCCACCCCCCTGGGCAGACCAGGGCAGAGAGAGGCTCCCCTCTCCCCAAGGCGCCTGTTCCCCTACCAGGGCCGCCCTATGCCCTCTCCAGGATGGGGACGTTGAGCTTGTGGGTGAGGAGGATCGCCCTGGGCCGAGCTTTGTGCTCCGGGAAACCCGTCCCTCTCCACCGGCCTGCCCCACCATTTCTTTAAGGACGCATTTTAGTGGGTGTGTGTCCAATTGCTGGCCTGTTGTTGCCGGACACATGCCACATAACGCTGACTGCCCTGAGCCCTCAAGTTTGGGGCTGAGGTTCCATTTGTAAACCCTCTGATAACTCTGCTTTTACCCCTCCCCGCCCCCCAAGAAAAGCCCCATCAACCCCTGAAACTCGGGTTTGCCCAGTGTTGGAACTTCCGCTTTTGTTTGTGTTGTGCTATGGCTGTCTTGGCAGTGGGAGCTTTGGAAAGACATTTGGGAGCACGCGGTGAGGTGAGCTGAACTGAGCGAGGGCAAGACAGAAACCAGAAAATAGGACGAGACCTCGCTCTAGGGATTCTATCTGCCCCGATGAGGACCTCCCAGAGTGGGGAGGTGGGAAACGCACCCTGATACGCCCCTCTGGGAGAAAGGAACATTTTCAGACCCGTTCACCAGTAAGGTCAGCTGGAGCCTGGCCACTGGAGCTGAACAGCAGCCCAGCTGCTCAGGGCAGCAAGGCGTCCGTCTCCATGTCTGTAGCACTCTCTGCCTGTGACGGTACATAATTCTGAGGGCTAACCAAGATAATGCGTGTACTTAGCCAGTACTTTCTGTAGTACTTGCTCAACCAAGGGCATTGTCATCATCATGTTACCGTCGTCATCTTCATCCTCCTCCTGGCTGCTCAGGGCAGAATCTCAGTCACCTTCAGTTCCTCTGTGGCCCACACTCCACATCCGGTCTATCCGTAAATCCATCGCTCTTCCTGTGGCTCTCCGGCCTCAGCATGTCTCACCCGCCCCATCGCCGCTACCCCGGTTCAGGCCATTGCCATCTCTCTCCTGCATTATCACCGTGGCCTCCAGCTGGTCCTCAGGGACCCACCCTTCTCCCCTTTGCCCTAATCTCTGCATAACACTCAAAACAATTCAGTTAAAAAGTAAGTCAGATCATATTTAACTCTGCCCCAAACTTCCAGTGTCTTTTTGACTCTCCACAGAAGGGCCAAAGTCTTTATTCACTGGCCTGCGAGGCCACCCCAGGGCCTTTGCACTTCCCGTGCCTCTGCCTGGAGTGTTCTCCCTCGAGACATCCACGTAGCTTGCTCCGTCCCTTCCTTCTGTCTTTATTAGAAAGTCCCTTCTCAGTGAGGCCTCCTTCACCCTCCCTGCTCTGACCCAATCCCCTGACACCCCCAAGATCCAGCTCTGCTTCCCCTTTCTCCATAGCACTTAGCAGCTTCTTTATTTTATTTTCTGCCTTCCCCAGTGACAGCAGGGATTTTTATCTGTTTGTCGTTATCCCCCCAGTCCCTAGAACAGTGTCTGGCACGTGGCTGATGCTCCCAAAGATTTGTTGAATGAGTGTGGCCAGATGGATGGGTAGATGGATGAATCCCCATCACTATTGGTATTCTGTCCCATCTGCCCAGCTCTCAGACTCCAGCATCCCAGCTGTCACAGCCTCTTTCTCTCACTTCCATCGTGGGCACTCTGGAGTATGGAATCTCTGAAGGCTCCACCATGTGGGCAATCGTTCCATGTGTTTCTCTTGCTCTGAGATTCATCCCTGAGAAGCTGAGGTCTGGACACTTTGTCGATCAGCAGCCCTGAGCCAGGCATTGGCTGAATCCACAAGGAAGCCAGGGGGAGGCCCGCGGGCCACGGCCGCTGGTGGTGATGGATGGGGGTTATTGAAGGCGATGATGGTGACAGAGCAGGCCGCGGAGCGGCATCGATCCAGGAGGGAGCAGAAAGCCCCACTTCCTGTCCACAGACTGGGCATTTAATGAAAACAATCACTCACTTTCGGGTTCTGTCCCAGGAGCGGGTGTGCTGACGGGCAGTGGGGCGTGAGCCAGCTGCCCCAGGCCTGGCTTTCTGCGTTTGGCTTTACAAAAGACTTCTCTGTTGAATTTGGAACTTGCCCGGGGCAATGGAGGTGATTTGCATTTTCTCCAAGTGCTCTAGGTGGACAAGGTGTGTGTGTGTGTGTGGGGGGGGGTCGTTGAAAACAATAAAGTGTTCGGCTGGAGAGGGAGCCAGTGACCCGTGCCCTGGCTTGGGCCACCTGCCACAGACATCAGGCGCGGAGAGGAGCCCGCTGAGGGATTAGCAGTCTCACAAAGCTACCAGAAGGAAGGCAAACCTGACTGCCTGTCCGTCCTCTCCCCTTCTGCCGCCGCGGGGATCTCCTGCCAGCTCCCTGAGGCTGTTTCCAGGAAAGGGCACCACCTCCCACCCCCACGAGCTGCCCAGTGATGCGAGGGGCCGAGGAATCTTAGGTTCCAATTAAAAGATTTTATTAAAGTATAGTAGGCATATAATATTAGCGTCACGTGCACAACAGAGAGATTCAGCATTGGTATACCTTACCCTGGGATCACGACGATAAGTTTAGGAATCGCCTGTCACCGTACAAATATGAATTCGGAGTGTGAGGTCTCTCTGACAGACCCCCACGGGGGGCGAGCATCATAACCTCCCCCCTACGCCCACCCTTCCCACTCCTGGCCGTCAGGGACTCGGCAAGTCCTGTCATGCTACTGGAGGGGCCCAATGTGGCCTGTCAGCTCCAGGACTTTCCACCAGATGGCGCTCACACCCTTCTCTCTCCCCATTTCTATGGTCTCTAATTTCTGACCTGGAAATTTTACAATAATAAGAACAGTAGCTATTATATATGTATATTATGATATATAGCCTATTGATATTTACATATTTGTATAGTCTATATTTATACATGTATGTATGATTATATATATTATACATTACTGTTAGTATATATTGCTATTCTGTAACAGTAAATGCTTTATGCACTTACTATGTGCCAGGCATTGAGCTAAGGGTTCCACATGCCCAGTGGAGCTTGGAGAGAGTGGAGCTGAAATCGCCCCAACTTGCATTCTTTCCAGTGTTGCTGAAACCCCTCCACCCCCACAAAAAAAAAAAAACACAACGTGACGTGTTTCCCAAATTGGCCAGTTTCATGAACCGTGTGTCACATTTCTGAGACTTCTTCACCCACTCGCGGCAGAGCACGAGTGGCCCAGGCGCTGAGCCCGCCAAACCCAGGGCTTTAGCGAGTCCTGCTTCTCGCTGGCTCTTTCAGACAACCCGTCCTCAAAGCAGTCCAGGAGCCTCGCCGAGGAGCTGGGCAAAGCCGTGGAGATGGTGGGCAAAGGCAAGAACGGGGTCGGCTTCGGCAAAGTGGACGTCACGGTGGAGACGGGGCTGCAGAAGGAGTTCGACATTCGCAAGGCCCCGGAGCTGAAGCTGTTTTTTGAGGGCAACAGGTCGGAGCCCATCAGCTGCGAAGGTAACGGTGCTTGCGTGTCAGTCACGGTGATGCCAGCTGTTGAATCCCAGAAACATGCGCCTTCCGTGGCTTGACGGAATCAGGGGTTCAGTGCTTGCTCATGTACAGGGCAGCTGGTAGCCAGAGGGTGGAGATGGGGGGCTGTGCTCCACAGTCTTCGGAGAACCCAGGCTCCTCCCAGCTGTGGCTCTGGCTTCCGCCAGGGCTCCCGAGCCACGTCCCTTTTCCTCTGTGTCCTGCCGGCAGCTGGGGAAGGAGGCGGAGGGTCGCCCCTCATGGTGCTGGGGGCCCGGGCCTGGGCATGACAAACAGGGCCTCTGTTCTCACTGCGTTGACCAAACTTGCGCTGGCTGAAAGGCTGAGAAGTATGGCCTCACTCTGTGTCCATAAGGAAAAGAAAATGGATTTTGGTGAGCAGGTCGCTGGGGCTCACCACCGCTGGTGGGCCTTAGAAGTGGCGTGAGGCGGGAGAGCGAGGTGCATGGTTTATAAACAGCCAGCGACCAGAGCGAGTCCCTGCCTCCACCTCACCCCTTCCCCTCGCGGTCTTCTACTTTAGAATCATTGTGACAGGGTCCCAGGCCAAGGAAGCCCAGGCTGACCAAAAGGGAGACTGGGCGATGACAGAAAAAGGCAGGTGTGGGACAGGGTGACCACCAAGCACTTCCCTTCTCTCGTCATCATTTCATCCATGAACTCATTCATTCGCTTACTCAACACCCTTTCATTGAGAACCTGCTGGTGTCAAGCCCTATCTTGATGTTGAGGGTGCAGTGGGGCATATAGTAGGTCCTAAGTAAAAGTTGGTAAATATACAAATGCATAAATGTATGCATCATGGTGGATGGATGGAACAGCACTGGCGCACACAGGTGTGTCCAGCACAGCCTGATGCCCCCGTATGTGTGCTGAATGGCTGACTCCAGGAAACAGAGTGCCTTCTGCAGGGCCTGTTGTTCAGCGGGTCTGCTGTAAGCCCGTTGGAGTGTTGTTGCAAGAATCCAGGGGCCGAGGGGGCTGCAGGATGCCTTGCAGTTCTCAGAATGGACACCAGGGGGCAGCAGACACAGGACTCGCAGGGGAAGGTGCGGGCCAAAACCCGAGTCTCAGGCCTGTTGAGGGAAGACCTGGCCATGCTGTGACTTCCAGCCGGATAGGGGGAGGTGGCACGTGATGGGGGGAAAGAGAAGAGATGGGGAGAAAGGATAGGAGCAGCAACAGAAGGGACAGAGGTCACAGATGGCTGCTTCCTGTAGGTACTGACTGACCACCCTCAACAGTGATGACACATTGATCCCAAGCAGGAAGCCCTTTTTGTGTTAGCTTTGGGGAGCGCTGTGAAGACGTGAGAGGCCCCAGGTTACTTTGTCGAAGCCCTTACCCCACTTTGAGGCAACAAGGTGACAATGCGGTGACTTCCAGACCCTCTGAGCTCCTTTGTGGTGGAAGCCGGTGCCTGGGACCCCTCTGCCGGGCAGGAAATGTCACTGTCACCTCCCCAGGAAGTCTCCCTCGGCTTCCGGTCAGCGTGCCCACCCCTCTTGTGGGGTTCCGCAGCACCTGTGCCTCCTGGTCGAGCCCTGACACATGTTGGAAGCATTCACTGTGTTCCAGGAACTGTTGTAGTCCCTTCTCACAGCTCACAACAACCCAGTGGAGTCGGTGCTTTTACAGATGGGGAAACTGAGGCTCAGCATCCACTGACATTTTCTGTGAAGGCCGGGTCATACATATCTTACGGGCCAGACAGTCTCTGTTACAGCTGCCTCACTCCGCTGAGGCCGTGGGACAGCATGTCCATGCATAAGTAGATGGGTGTGGCTGTGTTCCAATAAAACTTTATTTATAAAATCAGTTGACAGGCCACGTTTGGCCCCTGGGCCATAGTTGACAGACCCCTGCCCCCCACTCTGCTGCACCCTCAGGAAATGGCAGGTATGGTTATTATTATTAGCAAACGATTAGTTTTCTGACCCTAGTCCAGTGCCTGGAATACGTAGGTGCTGAATGAATCGTTTTTTGCACTTGAATGGGATGGGATGGCAGGGGCCTGCTGCAGGCGGGCTTCGGGGAAGGAGCCACGTTCCCGTCCCCCATAGTCCTCGGTACTTCCCTCAGCCGGGGGCAAGGCAGCCGAGAGCTGGGATGGAGCCAGGGCCTGGATTTCAGGACCAGCACTAGCGGCCGTCCACCTTCTCATTTCCTAGAAAGGTCGAGTAGCGGGTGCCAGGCTTGAGAGGGCTGCTCTGAGCTAAGACGAGACAGTGCTTTACTGGTCTCCTGCTCCGTGACTTTCATGAAAACGTCTCCAGGAGGCGGGGTGGGGGGGTGGGAGGGATGCAGTCCTCGTTGGGTCATAGCCGCAGCCCACTTCTCCTCTAGTCACCAAGGATAGGTGGTGGGAGACTTGGCCTGGGCCCTCTCTCTGGAGGGAGGGGGACTCGGGTTCCCTCCGGGGCCTCAGTTAACGATGCAGTCACGGCTTGTACCCGGAACTATGCAGCATGGCGACAGTCCCAGTCAATCATTGACACAGCATTCACACCTCAGTTGTCACTGTGTCCTCTGGCTCAGAGCCAAGCGCCAGGGGAGGCGTCTGCCCTACAAGGGGCAGTGCCCGATTTACCCACGTTCAGAGCCACCTGTGCCCCATGGGGGCCAGCGGGGCAAACGGAGCCCATACATCCCAGAGAGGAGGCCCCGAGATCAAGGCCCCTCCAGCCAGCTTATGTAGGGATCCACTCACTTCACTCATGTGTCCTACAATTATTTCCTGAGCACCTAGTATGAGCCAGACCTTACAAGAGCTACTGAGCAAGTGAGCCAACAGTGAAAATGTCAGGAAGAGGTAGAAGCAATGAGGAGAATACAACAAGTCACAAAATACAGGGAAGTGGCAGGGAGGACTCGGAAACTGAGGACTGAACAAGCGGGAGCAGCTGCCCTTTCAGCCTGGTGGGCTGCAGGGCAAGGACCTGGCCGGAGCGTGGGCAGCAGGAGAGAGTGGCGCCAAGGGCGGTCAGAGCCCGATGGTTCCGACGACCTGAAATTTAAGCCTGTTCGGAGGGGTTTTGTTCACCTTTTTTGGAATGTTCAGAATTTTAAAACCAATTCCTTTCAGGACGCTTACAACATAATTTTTTTTTTTTCCAGGCAAAAGCCTATAAGAAAGAGAAAGTTTGTTTCCAAGATATGAGCCTGTTTCTTCCTGAAAGATGGCTGGGAACACTGTGACATTAGACAGGCAACCTCAGGGCCGAGTCCAGGCAGAGGGGGTGCCTGCAGGGGGGTGGAGGGCCGGAGTCTGAGCGTGGCAGGAATCCTCCTGTCCCGTGAGGCCACCACATCCTCCTTCTATGAACTTCCTCCTTCTATGAACTTAAAAGCCTGACTCACTGTGGCTTTTAAAATGACCTAATCTGTATTTACTAAAGCTCAACACAGCATCCCCCGTGACCAGAAATCCTACTCCCGGGCTTGTACCCAACAGAAGTGCGACAATGTGCCTCCAGGGACATGCTTGAGAGTTAATTCTTAATGGTCCCAAACTGGAAACAACCCAAATGCCCATCAACAGAGATTAGATAAATAAATTGCAAGAATGTACAGGCACCATGGACGCATCTCACAAACATAATGAAACCAGACCAGAAAACACACCATCGAGTTCTATTGACGGGACATTTAAGAACAGGCAGACAAAATAAAGCACTGTTGCTGGAAGTCAGGATAGAAGTTTCCCCAGATGGTGGGGGGGTGGGGCCTCAGGAGGGGCCTATTCAGGCCTTCTGAGGGGCTGGCCGTGTCCTAGTTTTGGTCGGGGTGTCTTCACTTTGTGAAAATCCATCCAACTATGCGTTATAGTCTGTGCACCTTTCTGCATGTAAATCTACTTCATTACCAGTTTTTTAAAAGGCCTAATATTCTTAGGAAATTGCAAACGAAGATCCTGAACATAGTCCTTTCCAGATGGTCTAGCAACTCCGTGTGCATTCATCAAGCCTGTAGCAGTTTGCCCTTGTGCAGGGCCTTGGCACAGGCTGTTTGCTCGGCCCGGAAGCCGTTCCCTCCCCCGTGCTACCTCTTGGCTCACGCCTGTGCATCCTGCAGACTTCAGTGCCTAACTTCTTCCAGGAAGCCCTCCTTGACTTCACAGTCTAGGTCATGCGTCTTTGCTGCAGGTTCACGGGACTTGGCTTTCAGATACTTACGTGGTTGTGCGTAGACACTCTTTTGTGTAATTATCGTCTGTTCTTAGCAGAACGAGAGCTCCATCAACATATCCCCAGGACTAAGGACAGCACTTGATTACACAATAGGCACTGAATGCATATTCATCAAAGAAATGCAGAGTGAAGGAGTCAATGAGTGAGTGAGTGAATAAAAGGCCCATGGAGGTAGCCCAAAGCTACTCACAACAAACATGCTTTATCTCAGCAGCTCATTTTAAATGTTCTGTTCTAGTCGGTAGCAGGCTTTGACAGAAAATAGTATTTTACCTTACCTGCCATCATGTGACATTGGTGACTCCAGCAAACGCATGCCCATTTGTAGCCTTGTGCGCAGCACACGGGCACACTATATGTCTCCCCAGATACAGTGTATGCTCCCCAGTTTCAGAAGCTAAGGCCTTTGTGTGCTTGGCCCCTCCCACGATAGCTGAGAAAGGAAAGCTGGGATCTAGGACTGTGGCGGACACCCGTGTCTCAGCTGAAGCGCTGGAGACACAAGGAGATGATGAGATGCTCCCAAGGTCACGGAGCTTGATGGTCTTTCGACTTACATTTTATTTCTGCATATTTTTTAAAAAATAAGCTCATCTCAAGGTCCCTTTGGAGGGTGGTGGCTAAGAAAAGAAGGCTGGGCTTGCGTCCTCCTGGGTTTGCTTCCCAGGGTCGCTAGCGGGGTGGCCACTGGCAAGTGGAACCTCAGTTTCCTCATCTGCAAAATGGGGAGAGTAAGAAGTGGGGTTGCTGTGGTGGGGGGAGGGTAATGTACACAGCACACTCAGTGCTCCCCACAGCACCTGGTCGTCGGTAAGAGCGCAGTCGAGTTCAGCTGTTGTCGATGTTCGTGCCTGGGGGCTTGGTGGGAGGAGCCAGAAAAGGACCATGGCCTTCAGGTGTGGGAGCCCGAGACCAGGTGCATCTACTTACTATGCTTGGGAGAGAAGGGCCTTGCTGCAGCTCAGGAGGAAACTGCCGCGGGATCCGTTTACCTGTCTCTCTCTCCAGGAGTGGTCGAGTCTGCGGCCTTGGTCGTCTGGTTGAGAAGACAAATTAGCCAGAAAGCGTTTCTGTTCACCGACACCCAGCGGGTGGTCGAGTTTGTGAAAGCCAGGCCCTTGGTCATCATCGGCTTCTTCCAGGTACAGCGTTCAAGTGGGGGGGGGGGGGGCGGTGGCTGGCTTTTCAACTGGGGAGGAGTCACGTGTCTGGGAGGGGAGTGGGGTGAGAAGAAGTCCTCCACTTGGGCTAACTGCATACCCATTCTTCTTTGCCCAAAGAGCTGGTTTTCTGGGGGGAACTGCAGGGCCAAAATGAAGAGAGAACATGGAAGGTGGGGGTGGCAGGAGAGGCCACTGGAAAGGAAGTCAGGAATGGAGAGAGGAGATGGACGTATTTATTAAGCTGATAATATAATGAGCTTTTGGGGGTCCATGTAGAACAGCCCCGAATCATCACTAACTTGCAAACTGTTTTTGCTTTTGGAGGGTGAGTTTCTTACCTGTCTTCACTTATTTCCTATAACTTGGATGACTCTCACCTCCTCCCAGGGGAAGTGAGAATGCGGGCATTATATTTACACATGGGGAGGGTATGTGCCTCTCTCTCTCCCATCCCACGCTTTGACAGTGTCTGTGGCACGAATTTTCTCATAAAGGTAAAGGATAAGGGCTGAAGTCACAGCCATATCTGGATACCAAGTTCCTGTTTGATACCACATGTGGTCAAATCAATTGCCCCTTCTGAAAGCAAGTAAGGAATAAATGTTAAAAAGTTTCAACCTACTCTAATACTTGGAAAAGGTCAAGTTTAACCAAACATCAAGTAATTTCTCCACTCATCTCTGTGGATTTGCCTATTTTGGCCTTAGTCATAGCCACAGAAGTATTGTGGAGATGAAACATCCATGAATTGGGATATAGGCGACTCAGCAAAACCCCAGAACTTGGGAAAGTGGGGAGACAAACTGGTCACCACTGTCACCTTGCCCTCACATGAGCCAGGCATTTTGCTTTCTGCCAAAGCCTTACCGAACAGCCTTCCCCAAACAGGATTTAGAGGAAGAAGTGGCCAAGCTGTTCTATGACGTCATCAAAGACTTCCCTGAGCTCACGTTTGGGGTGATAGCCATTCCCCACGCCGCCGGGCTTTTCCACGTCACCCTCGACAGCGTCCTGGTGTTCAAAAAGGTGGGTCTCTGATCCTGTTGCTGGGGAGGGGGTCTCGGGTTCGAAACGGGGGACTATGCGTGTATGTGTGGGCTTTGGGTACAAATGCTGGCTCTGCAGCTTGTCAGCTCGGTGGCACTGGACTAGCTGGCTTTGGCAAAATCAGTTTTCAGGTGTTTCTCCAGCCTTTTTAGCCACTCTCCATTGTAAGCTCCTCCTCCTTTCCTTACCCAGTAAATGTCACAAAGTCTCCATCCTCTGTCCTGTTTTCTTCTGGTCCGTGCTCCCCCCACCCGCACCCTCCATCACTATCGAGACACCCATGACTTCAACTCTCCATTCCCGGTCAGACCTCTCCACCTCCAGACCTTATATCCATCCCCAGGTGTCTGAACATGGCCAGGCACGAAGTCATGCTCTCCCCTCCGGCTGTGTTCTCCGTCCCCCACAGGCTCTGATCCTGGGCTACAGAGAACTACAGCCTGCCCGGTGGTGTCAAGCCAGGTCCTTCTGAGAAGTCATTAGGCAGGATTAGACAGGCAAAGATTAGGGAAAGTGCTTGTGAAGGAAAACAGAGGGAGCTGGGGAGACTCCTGGGAAGAGGATGTAGGCCTGACATGTAGGAAGGAAGAGAGGGAGGGAGAAAGTACTTGATTGCAGTGGAGTCCTTAGAAAGCTCATGGAAGTCGCTTAGCAGAGAGGTCCTGCATCTCGGAGAAATGGCCTTGCTTCTTTTTGCTGACACATTGGGTCGCCGGGTCGCCGGGTAGGGGCAGCGTGTGGGAAACAGCCCAGCATTGGCATGAATACGGTGATGGATTTCAGAGCAAGGCAGTGGGGCTGTGGTCAGTTCCACCCCCTGCCTTCGTAGATGGAGACTGTCGTGGCTGCCACAGACCCGCAGAACCATCGGCCCAGCTGTCCACACTTAAGGGGGTGCCGAGATTATGGGTTACATGGTCAGCATGGCGTCTCCTTTCTGTCCAAGGGGGAAACGATGCTATTTATATTTATTAAGTGCCCACATCATGGAAGCGACTGCCCGCCAGTGTTTTTCTTCTTTCGTTCAAGGGGAAAATGGTGAACCGCCAGGAGCTGGTCAATGACAGCACCAACAAACAGACCCTCAGTCAGGTCATAAAGCAGCACCTCACGGGTTTTGTTATCGAGTACAACGCCGAGGTCAGCGGGCAGAGGGTCCAGGGGAGAGGGGCAGCCGGGCAGCTGCGTGCATACGTGCACCGTGCCACCTGCCTCCCTTGTCGTTTCAGAACAAGGACTTGATCTTTGAGCTGCGAGTGCTGAATCACATGCTCCTCTTTGCCTCGAAAAGCTCCCTGGCGTTCGGTGAGATAATGCAGCATTACAGGGCGGCTGCCAGGGAGTTCCAGAACAAGGTTTGTGGGAGGCGACATTCCCGCATGGGGATCCCAGCGGGTAGACCGGACACGCCACTGGCCTGCCTTGCAGAGGAGACATTAAGCCCGGGATCCGCATATGCATTTGTGGAGCAATTTCCCGATTTGCATATGGCTGCTATCTACTATTTACCACTTAATTTTAAATCAGCCTCCTCCGTTCTCCCTGCCCAGTGTCGCTCCCTGTCTTGCGAAACCTCTGCTCCTTCGTCCTTCTTTTGATAAGTCTGCTTGGAAAGACGATGGTCCGGCTGCTTTTTTGCGGGACCACGCTCCACTAAGAGCGGGTGACTGCGGGGTGGGTGGCATTGGGCCTGGAGGTGAGAGGGAGGCAGGCGGGTGCTGCCTGAGGTCAGGGCGTTAGGCTGGAGGCCTGAAGCGGCACAGCGCCTGTGACATGCGACTGCTGAGCGTCACAAAGACTCTCTTCTTCTCACAAGCGAGTTTTGTCTTAGGTGTGTTTCTTAACCCCTCGGCCTCAGTCACCTCATGTGCAAAAGGGAGACTTGTGGTAAGAATTACAAGGGTGCTCGGTGGAAAGCGTTGAGCAGACAGACGATAAACGGTGCTAATTATTGTTGTCACTATCACCGTTAGAGAGTAGCCTGTTTTCCCTAAGCATATACGTGTATTTCTGTAGTTACCATCCCCTGGGCTATGCGGGACTGTTTACTTCATTTTTCCTCTTTATTTGTTAATGGCAGATTTTTTTCTTTTGCAGAAAATGACTCTGCGATTCAAACAAAACAATTAAAAACACTGAAACCCAAAACACACACAGAGAAAAGCCGCTAGAGCAGGAGCAGTTTCAGTGTTATTAACCCCAGGATAATGCTCTAATCGCCCAACACCTCTTGTGAAGAGGTTTCCTGGTGTAGTCCATTTTAAACTGCAAGATGTTTGCTATGCACACAACCCCATCGCTTTCCCTTGGAATTCATTTGTTTGCTCATTTGCTGGGATGTAAGCTGCAGGAGGGTGTGGGTTTTGTCTGCCTGGGGCAGTGCAGGGGCCCCTGGGCTTGGCAAACTGCCTAGTGGGCACTCCCCGATTTATGGAGTGACTGAGAGTGAAGTCACAAATTTCCTCGACAGGAGAATAATTTAGAATAATAAGAACTGACACGCACGGAGCAGTTTTCTGCCTCCCAGTCACTGAACTAAGCCTCCTGTGTAATTCCCACGGCGACCCTCTCAGGTGGGCACTGTTATAATCACCACTTTACAGATAAGGATGCCGAGGCCCAGAGAGCTGTGTGGGAGCTCAGGGCCTCCTGGCTGCCTGAGGATGGTGGTACCAGGCTAATGACCGGTGCCCGTCTGTGCCCTGGGGTGCAGGGCAGCCCCTGCCTGATGGAAGGGACCTTTAGTGTGTCTTAAAGAGCTCTGCAGAGCTGCTATTTGAATCCCATTAGCGCCCCCTCCCCCCCAGGCCTTCCCGACAGCTTCTCTCCCTCCAAAAGGCTCCTGACCCAATTACAGTTCCTCGCCATGGAGACACAGGCTTCCTTTGATTTGGCAGATTCTCTTCATCCTCGTGGACTCCGATGAGCCCAGGAACGGGCGTATCTTCGAATACTTCCGGCTCACGGAGGTCGACATCCCCTGCGTCCAGATCCTCAACCTAAGCTCTGACGCCAGGTACAAAATGCCGTTTGAGGACATAACCTTCCAAAACCTCAAGAAATTCGGCCGCAGTTTCCTGCATAGAAGTGCCAAGGTAAGTGTGTTTTTCGTTCTTGGGCAAGTTTTCATCCAGAATCTCAAAAGCGTGCCCCTTTTGTCATTTTGCTGGCTTTGGTCACCTGCACGGGGGATGCAGAGGAAGGCTCGTGTTCAAGGTGGGGAAATAGCCCCATCTCCCTCCCTCCCATCTAGTTAACCTTTGACCTGTCCAGACCCAGTAATTCCACTATTATTTATTCTTAAAGGCATTTCCTTTGCAGGAGTTTCCAATTGAAATGCAGGCCGCCCAAGGCTAATCCCCTCCTCCTGTTAAGACTTCATTGTGAAAGATTTGCTTGGCCTGAGGGATGAGCCTTGTTTTGGGGGAGGAGAAGGGTGGAACGTGTTAAGCAATCAGGACTGAGCCTGCCTTAGGAACGTTCGTTTGGGGCGGCAAGAAGGGCGTCTGTTTTGCCACAAGGAAGGAGAGACTGCCTCAGGATGGTTACAGCACACCACCGGCCCTGTTCATTTAGCACTTGCTGTGTCCTCAACCCCCCTGGTGAGTTAGGTGATTGTTATTTTCTAAATGGAGCTGCTTTTGAGAGTAACAGGACTCTCTTTTAAAACATGCTAGGGCTTCTCCAGGCAAAGCAGACAGTGTGGTCGCTCGACCTCCGAGGGCATCTGGCGTCTGTCCACTTGTGTCCCTTTCCCCACAGACACTGCTTCCCCCGTGGCCTTCTCTAGCGACAGATGTTTTCTCTTAGGCTCTTAATCGCCGGCCCAGTGGGGAGGCCGGGGTCCCCCGTGACACATGCAAACCCTTTCTCCGCCTCCTGCCTTCAGGGACCTCCCCTTCCCACCCTGCTCCTTTGGGTCCCAGGCCCTTGGCCGTCCCTACTCCTGCCCTGTTGCTGTCCTCTGTCCCTGTCACTCTCTAAGGGCCTAAGCCCTTCATGGCACACGTGCCCTCCCCCCACTCCCCGCGCGCTGCCATCATGGCCCGGGATGTCCACATCCAAAGCCTGGTC